GCAAATGCATCACAGTGGCCCAATGACAAATCTTTCTGCCCATCCCTCCCTAAAAGGCCACCTTAACAAAATGTTGACTTAAATCCTGTGACAGAAGAAAGATGAGTGGATGGATCCCAGGCATAAGTCATGGCAGCAGAAAAGCCATGTGAAAAGTTCTATATGTCCAGAATAGTTTGTTCCTACCAGATGGAATATGAAGAAATCTATTGTCAGTGTCAAAACCAGTCAGGTGGTTTTCTAAACTGGTAACTTCTGTATATAGTGGAAAGGTTATAATTTCATTCTTTGTCTTTGGTAGTGAAGTATCTATTGCAAGATGGGGCCAATCAAATATTGGGAGGGAGGAAATATATGTGTATATGTGGAAGATGAACAAATGGGCAAAACTGAAAGGCAGCTAGGCAGTCTAGTAATTTGGATCATATGCACTCATCTGTCAAACTTTGACACTTCTTATTCACTGTTTCGGTATTGTCTTAAAAATTATGCCTTACTTAAGCTTTGGGAATGTGCAGCTTCTAGAAAATTCTAAGTGAAAATAGCATCAGACCTCCCTTCTCCACACTCTAGAAGGAATAATAATACAGGACTTTCTACCTATAATTCCTGTGCTAAAAATAAATATCATAACCCTCCTCCAGTTATACAGACAAATTGAAAGGGTTGGGGATTATGAAGCTTAAATAACTTCTGCTGAAAAATGTTTTGTAGTGTAAGGTAAATAATTTTCCTCCCCTTAAAACTAATTAATGAGGGAGGAACAATTGTTCCTTAGGATGATCCAATAAAATAGCAGTTGACAGTGAGAAATAAAAATGGATGCTCCTTACTCCAGACCGTAGGCTGAAATCTTCCAGGGTCTCAGTAGGTGCACTAAGCAATTAAAGAGAAAGTAGCATTAAGATCTGATTTGCATGTGCTCAAAGGAAGCCTTGAAATTTCTTTCAAAACTAGTTTTTCCCTGAGGCCTAATCATTACCCTTGGACAGTTCCTTCTTCTACTCCATACCGTCTGACGTTTAATCCTTCTCTTTAAGCCTAATACCTATACAGTATTTTCTTTGCTGCAGTGTCTTTTTAATATATGAGGGTGGGGGGAGGGAGGTGGCTAAAAATGTAACGTGAAGGGTGCAAACATATATTAAAAACCCTCTCTCTTTTCTATATGTTTAGCATGGGGCAGCGTTCTCCCAATTAAAACATTTATATATTTCTACATCAACATAAGTAAAGGCTTGCCAAGCCTATTTGAATTACATATTAATAAAAGACAACTGGCCTTTTCCATTCCAGATAATTGACTTCAGCATCTGCCTCTTTTTATATTCATAATCTAACACTTACTTAATCATTCATATCTCATCTTTGACAGATATTTATGAGTATATAACCTGCAAAAACATCACCTTCTCTCTCCAATTGTGAACTATTATTGTGTCAATTGGGGGAGGAGGATGCCGTTGAGTCATTGTGAACTCCTGGCAACTGCTTAGACCAGTCCCTGCAGTTTTCTTGGCAAGGATTTTTGGAAGTAGTTTATCCTTGCCTCCTTCCTAAGGGTCAGACAGATTCACTGGCCCAAGATCACCCAGCTGGCTTTGTGCCTAAGCTGGGACTAGAACTCACAGTCTCCTGGTTTCTCCAATTTGTGGGACCAACCTTTTTGTAGCATGCAATCCAGTTTAAATGTGATTTTCAGGCTATATCAAATTAGAGTTCTACGAAGGGGGAAACAATACATGCTATTAAGACTAATTCCATGCATATACGTCTCGGAGTAAATTTTATTTGGTTCTTTCTCTTCACTTCTGAGTAAACATACATTTAGTAGGGTTTCATGCTGTGAACCGTACATAGAATATGCAAGTAAACTCATGCTTAGAGACAAGCAATATATACAAAGACAGCATCAGCCTAATTTAGGTTTAATTTCAGTTGGAAATGAGTTAGCGGATAGCAGCATTTCCCTCTTTTTTTCCTCTTTTTTTCTTTTTTCTCTCTCCATGCCTTTGAGTCAGTATTGGTTCCTGGCAATTGCCTTGATTAGTTCCTGCAGTTTTATTGGCAATATTTCAGAAGTGGTTTGCCATTGCCTTCTCCTTCCTAGGGCTGAATGTTGAATCACAGCTTTCCATCAGTCCATAAAAGTAAGAGTTTCCACCCAAAAGAAACAATACCCCCTCCCCAAAAAAACACAATCACCATGCCATATGTTTTCTCACAAAGAAGGATACATCCATCCATAGATAACTCATACAATACACTCTTCTAGGCTAAAACCAATGGTATGACATCTTTCCAGATTCATGTTGTCTTTCCATCCCATTTGCAGAAAAATAAAACAAGAGGTCATTTATGTAAAAGAAGCTGAAATTATTGGTCCTGTCTTTCTTGCCTTGTAATTGGTTAGAACATTCACCTAAGCCCTAAATCAGTGATGGCGAACCTTTTAGAGACCGAGTGCCCAAACTGCAACCCAAAACCCACTTATGCATTGTTGGGTGCCAGGTGGGTGTGGCCCATTGGGTGGGCATGGCTGCGGTGGTAACAGCAGACTGGATGGGACTAAAAAGTTCGATCAATCAATTCCAACTTTGCAATATCTTTTTTTCCCTGCGAGAAATTGAAATTGACTGATTGATTGAACCTTTTTTTTGTACATGGTGGTGGAGGTCTAAAATGAAAAGGTTTTATAAAACCCAGCTGAAGACCTAGGACTGGGGTGATGGCGCGGGTGCCCACAGAGAGGGCTCTGAGTGCTGCCTTTGGCATCCGTGCCATAGGTTCGCCACCACTGCCCTAAACTAACTAACAAATTTAGTTATCAGCTTTAAGAAATGCTCTGGGTGGTTTTAGACCTATACTTTCACAATCAAATGGAGAAGTTGCATAAATATTCCATTTTTTTGGTATTAGAACTTCATAAAGAAGAATTTTAGTTCCCCCCCCATCCAATCTAGATGGGCTCTGGGGTTCAAAATGGGATATCGGTAGACTGTAGTTGTATATGCTGATATCTGTAAAATTTGCCTTGTCTCTCATTTCGTTTTAGTGTTTTCTCCCTCCATTCTCAATTTGGTGTCCTCTGAATATATATATTTGGACTACAATGCTGGAGAAACCTATTTCAGTACATTGTTTTATGGGTCTAGATTGGTAGCATTTGAAATATGAATAGAGGTTAGTTTGAGTGGATATTGCCCATCTGTTAAGTGTATATTCTACATCAAATGCAAACAGAATATTGAGGCTTCCTACTATATATATGCCTCGGTAAAAAAGAATGACAGAATTTCAGAGTTGGAGGGGACCTTGACGGTCTTCTGGTCCAACCCCCTGCTCAGGCAGGAAACCCTATATCATTTCAGACAAATGATTTTCCAGTCTCATCTTAAAATCCTCTAGTGTTGGAGCACCAACAACTTCTGGAGGCAAGCCATTCCAATGATTAATTGTTCACACCGTTAGGAAATTTCTCCTTAGTTCTAGATTGGTTCTCTCCTTGATTAGTTTTCTTCCATGGCTTCCTGTCCTGCCTTCAGGTGCTTTGGAGAATAGGTTGACTCCCTTTTCTTTATGGCAACCCCCATTGATATTGGAACACTGTTATCTTTTCAGTCCTAATCCTTCTTTTCATTAAAGTAGACATATCCAATTCCAGCAACCGTTCCTTATATGTTTTAGCCTCCAGTCCCCTAATCAGCTTTGTTGCTCTTCTCTGCACTCTTTGTAAAGTCTCAACATCTTTCTTATATTGTGGTGACCAAACCTGGATGCAATATTCCAAGTGTGGTCTTACCAAGACATTATAAAGTGGTTCTAACACTTCACACGATCTTGATTCTATCCCTCTGTTAATGCATCTTTTATGACAACTGCCGCACACTGATGACTCATATTTAAATGATTGTTCATGAGGACTCCAAGTTCCCTTTTGCAGTTACTACTATTGAGCCAGATACCACCTATACTAATTATATCACCTATACTATACAAAGTGTAGTGTAGTGTAGTGTAGTATAGTACCTATACAATACAAAGCTGACATTCTGGGATACGTAATGGGATCTTCCTAATTCATAGCCAAAAGAAACTGTGATCTACTTTCAGATGTTTGCTCATATGGTGGTCTTGTAGAACTCAACAAACTTCAGTATCTGCATTTCCTGAAAAGTAGTAAAGGGGAGGTAAAACTTTAGCGAGCCACAGTGCTTTGTTGCTTTTGGCTCACTAAATTATAGATTGTGTCAATATATTCTCTGACTTGCCAAATCTAATGTTCTTGAGATGAGTTAGAGTTCAATTTGCATAAATTTCAGCTGATTTGGGATTTTAGAAATTGAAGGCCAATAAATGTTGAGGGCAGTGGGCTGGGAACTTTGTTATTATGCCTTTGAAATGCCTTTAGTATAATCAGAAATGGGCAACTTTGATTTTATCAAAGTTTGGAGAGCTTGATCCTGGAGTTGAGGCAGTGAGATGGTGATATCAATGTGGGAAGTGGGACAAGTTTTAACCATAATTTGAGGAGCTTGGTTGTGAGCTTTCTCGCCCATTCAAAATCTTCTTAGAGTCTTAGTATACCTATTTTAAGTGTTTATGGAAAACTTGCATAAGTGAAAACGTACTGGTAAGAATCATCAGTTTGCTGCTGAATTTTGACAATGATCTGGAGAGCCTTGGAAGATAATTCAATGGCAGTTGGGGACTGACCATGACTCATCAGCCATGGGTTGCTCCCTTCTGCCATACTGTTGTGACTGTTGCCTAGGAGATGCCTACAATTTTGCCCTGCCTGACTCTCTCGTGACAATGGTTCCACTAATGGTTAACTTTCCCTCCACTTCCAGGAGCTTTCTAACATCTGCCTTATTACTGCCTGTTGCTCCGTGGATTTTTACAAAGCTAGTTAGCTACATAGAGCTAGAAAATTAAATCAACCAACCAAAAAAAAAAAAAACAAATAAAAAAAGAGAAACATTGCGTTTTGTTCACAGTGATGATCCCTGCGGTTCAGCCAGCAAGAAAACCGGGTGTGACGTGGAGGAACCGAAGGAGTCCGGCAGAGGCAGTGGCCAGGAAGGCAGGTCCGACACCTTGAAGTTAAAAGCCCAGCATGAGGAGCGGCAGGAAGAGCAGGCAGCGGGGTCCTCCCTTTTGGTGCAGAAGGCCAGCCTCCACCACACAGGTTCCCCCGTGAGAGGGCAGCGCAGCAAAGGGGCAGCTACCTGTTCCCATGCAGCTGCATCCAATTATGAGCTCTCCCTTGACTTAAAGAATAAACAGGTACGCCTGCTTCTCCTCATGCCTTGGGAGAGGGGGCTGGGCTGGGCTGGGGCCATTTCTCCATCCATTGTTTAGCTTAGTTCCTTTCCATGTGCACTCCCAACCTGCTGACCATCACCAGGGATGGGGCTGGGACTGGGCGAATTTGGGAAGAACTATAGGAAGTATTTTGCATGAACAGGGCACCTTCATCTTAAACCATCATGTAGGAGGTGATGGGAAATATCTATTTTCGGAGGGGAGGGTGTCTGGAAAGAACTGTTATGCATCAGAATAGACAATATTGACCAAGATAGAAGAATAGTCTGATGGTGCATAAGGCAGAATTCCTGATGTACAACTTAGCCAGTGATGAGAAAATTGCGATAGAAATGCTGATCTATCATAGGATAAATGTAGATTTCTGTTGTTTTGAGGGATCAGAGAGAAATGTGGTTATTTCCTTTTTTAATACAAGCTTATTGAATTCCCATTCCCTGAATTTACACTTACTGTGCCAGTGCTTGAGCCAAATCACAAATATATCCCAAGAATCATACATGCATAGTCATGCGTGCACAATTTTCAATCTGTTCAGAAAAGGGATATATTAGGGAGAGGTGCAAACGATATAGGAGATATTTGTGAAAATAATGTAAATAATTCATTTTGCCAGATAGACTGCAAAAATATGAGCGTTAAGGAAAAAGTTATGTACAAGTAATATGGGTAGAAGGGAACACACACACAAAATATTCACTGACATTTATGCAATTATACAGTGTAGCAAAGCAAATGAATGAAACAAATTTAAGATTGAAAAAATGAGAAACCGAGTGAAACCATAATTGACAATCCATGTTTTCTTAATTATTTTTGGCTCACTGTATTCAATTAACCCAAACCTTTCCATGTGCTCCAAGCCATATTACGCAAATGAAAACAATTTTTCTAAATAAAGTAGGGTGCAAAGTCTTCCACACAAAGAATGTGGAATAGAAGAAATATACTGTATGTAGTATGGCCCAATGGAGAAAGTCAGTTTTGATAGACAATTTAGTGTATACATTACATTAAATGTTCAAATGTTTCATTAAAAGCAGTTAAGATTGGTTCATTACAGTTAATGTGATTCCTTCCTATGCAGTTAATAAATCTTTCCTTCTTTAATATTTACATTTGGTAAGAACTTTTACAGAGACCTTCAGGATGATTTTGAGATCTTTGAATCTCTCTTCCCGATGCAGATACTCCATCTTAAAAGCATATGAGCTGTCTTATCCTTCAGTTTGATAGCTCTTGCTTTAAGGAACCTAAAACAGAATTATGATAAAATTAGTTATTGTACGAAATAATTTTAAAACATGTTAGGCTACTAGTGTTCAGCTACTGCAGTTTTTTTGCTGGCATGTCACTCTTCTTTTTATAATGTCCATCATGTGCCACAAAATATTTGGCTCCAGATCTTGTTTCTCATCTTACCACGTGTTTCTATGTGTGTTTTTATTCTTATGACTGTTTTTCACACTTACGACCATTGCAGCAACCCCATGGTAATATGATCAAAATTTGGATGCTTGGTGACTGACTCATATTTATGACAATTGCTATTGTTTCTTCCAGAATGCTTCGTTCTTTCCATGTGTTAATGATTAAGTCCTCAACTTACAAGAGTTCATTTAGTGATCATTCAAAATTACAACAGCACTGAAAAAAGTGACTTACGGCCATTTTTCACACTTATAGCTATTGGCAACTGACTCCTATTTATGACGATTGCAGCGTCCCAGGGTCATGTGGTCACCTTTTGCAACCTTCTGACAAGCAAGGTTGCAAAAGGTGGCGAGGTGGCGCAGCAGTTAGGGTGCAGTACTGCAGGCCACTTTAGCTGACCGTGTTCAGCAGGTCAGCGGTTCAAATCTCACCGGCTCAAGGTTGACTCAGCCTTCCATCCTTCCGGGGTAGGTAAAATGAGGACCCAGATTGTTGGGGGCAATGTAAATATATATATACATTGCTTACTGGTGTACACCGCTTAGAGAGTGCTTGCACTTAAAGCGGTATATAAGTCTCATAAATAAATAAATAAATAAATAAATAAATAAAGTCAATGGGGAAGCCAGATTCATTTAACAACCGTGTTACTAATGTAACAACTGCAGTGATTCACTTAGCAACTGTGGAATAAAAAGTCATAAAATGGGACAAAATTCACTTAACAAGTGTTTCACGTAGCAACAAAAAAATTGGGGCTCAATTTTGTGGTCATCAGCCGAGGACTATCTGTACTAACTGAACAGCTCTAGACCCAAAAGAATCTCTTTTTTTGCAGTCCTTAAAACCTTCTTCTCATCATCTGCTGAAAACCGTTGATACGTTTCCTGCCATTTTGAGATGGGACCTAGAAGAAAACCATAGTACAGGCACTAAAGCTGTGGTGGCGAACCTATGGCACATGTGCCACAGATGGCATACAGAGCCCTCTCTGTGGGCATGCGTGCCATCGCCCCAGTCCTAGGTCTTCAGCTGGGTTTTATAAAACCTTTTTGCTTTAGGCCTTTGCCGCCATGTGCAAAAAAAAAAAAAGTTCAATCAATCAATTTCAACTTCTCACGGGAAAAAAAAGATCTCACAAAGTTGGAATTGATTGATCGAACTTTTTAGTCCCACCCAGTCTGCTGTTACCACCGCAGCCATGCCCACCCAATGCACCATGCCCACCCAATGGGCCACACCCATCCAATGAGCCATGCCCACTCAATGGGCCATGCCCACCCGGTACCGAACAATACAGAAGTGGGCTTGGGATTGTAGTTTGGGCACTCAGTCTCTAAAAGGTTCGCCATCACTGCCCTAAAATAATCCTACCACATCAGCTCCCAAGTTCCTTCAGAAGCAGATTAATGCAATCTCCTGTGTTAAGTGTAATCCTCAGCCTATCTCTGCTCTAAGGGAGTCCATGCTAGCAGGGAGTTCTAAGCATTACACTCTGATCTGCTGTGAAAAGGTCAGGTTGGCAAGGGCTATTTTACAGGTTTAGTTCCATAGGAACTGCCGACATATATTTCACTTTCCTGCCATTAGTCATTAGACTCTGTCTAAACCTTTTGAAAAGCACTTGGGTCACCGATATAACAAATGCCTTCAAAGAGGCAGAATAGCCACTGGCATGCTGGCCTTAAGTTTATGAAAGTTCAAGTCAAACATATCCAAAAAGCAGGGGAAGACAGGCTTAGAGAGATCTAGGCATATTTAATCCTTCCAGGTCCAAGTTCCTCTTGGAGTCAAATACCCAGAAGGTACAAGAGCAGATTTAGGAGACAATAAAAGTCCCTAAGAGTGGTACAGAACCTGTGGCACCACTCTGACATAAAAACAAGACCTGTCCAAGTTTCCTTTATATACCTAACTAAGGTAATGAAGTTCTCAAATGTATCTGTTTAATTGCCCAACTTGTAACTTGCCTTCTTAAAAACCAGTACAAGTCAACATCTGCTTAATTAATTAATCTGGTACTATGCAAGAAGAAAATCGATGGCCTGATATAGTACTCAAGAAAATGTCTTAGCAAGTCTGTAGGTTCCTCCTCCTAGCAATCTTCTGATGCGAGGAGGGAAGGAATCAGAAATATTCTCTTCTTTTTGCTATTTACCATAGTTTGCTGTGTCATCTGAACATGGACAAACTGAAACCGAGGTATACACATTGTTTTAACCATGGTATGTTATACATGCTGCACTGCAGTGGGTTAAGTTTACCAATGCTAAACCAATGCTAAATCAAAAGTGGCTGGGTTCATGCAATGTGCTAAGCTAAATTCAAATCAACCACATTTCTGAGACAATGTTATGTATGAATTAGCCAATCTTAATTACGGTTAATAGAAAGGAGTTGGCCCCAAAGCACAGTTTATGAAGCTAATTTGTATTCACAAGCTATGTTTAAATTTTATTTAAGAAAATGTATATGGCTGCCCAATTCACTCTCAGTGACTCTGAGCAGCTTACAAGGATAAACGCCCAATACAAAAACAATAAAAAAGCAATAACCCCACATCCCCCTGGCAACAACAATCAAATGAGCCCTTTGATGAGCTCCATTCCATTCTGGGATCCCCAAGCCCATTGGCAAAACCAGGTCTTCAGGACATGTGAAAGAGTGTCAAAATGGGGGCCAATCTTATCTCTGCAGGGATGATGTTCCACAGAGAGGAGCCACCACGGAGAAGGCCCTTCTTCTTGGTTCCACTAGATGGCCCTCCTTAGGAGAAGGGGCTTGTAACATTCCCTGCCTTCCTGCTGTGGTAGGTCAGATAATGTAAAATTAGCATTCTTAAACTGCTGTAGATCTGAAATGTTGTGAGATAGTTTGGGTCTCCTCCACCTTTATAGAAGAAGAGGGGAAGTGAGAGTCAGCAGGAGAACATGGCTAGGGACTTAGTACTGTATCTAAATCCAGTCTCTTTAGTGTAAGATACAATCTGGATTCAAGTCATAGTCTGGAGAGCCATGAAATTGCTCCTTGTGAAGGAAAAGCTTCTCTTTGAGAGAGCCTCCTAGCAGAACAAAGGAAAAATAACCCCATCTCATGATCTTGTTATTAATTTTTCTCTGAGTGAGACATTTGTAAAAGTTCAAATGATTTCTTTTCCTCCAGAGAAAGGTAAAATATTGATACAAAGTATAGTTGGAAATATATTGCATGGAAATTAAATTAAGAAAATGATTGAAATCAAACAAACTCACTCTGAGTCCAGGAGAATACAATGCAATTAAATTTAGAGTAAGCAGCAAAAAAACCCCAAACAAACCTAAAGTAATAACTGAACAGTATTCCAATAGGCTACCATACACTGAAAATAATTAGCACTATATCTTTAGGTATATATATTTGAAAAAAGTGCTGCAGTTTTGTATCATACTGAGCTATAATGGAGGTTGTAAGGTTTTGGCTTAATATGTTATGTAAATCCTGCCATTTCTGTTTACCAATAATGGTTTTTTATCTTATAACTATCAGTA